CTTTTGCAAATTTAGAACTCCCGTGAAATTGGTGAGATAAAAGAGCCTCACAAGTATTGGTTATATTATTAGGCCCAACATCCGATTCAACTTGCAAACCACTGCTAATATCTCTATTATTATTGGAAAATTTTACCCCATATACCCCTACTTTTTTTTAAATGTCAATTTCATCTTTATTTATTTTTCATTATTTTATTTTTTTACTTTTTACTGTTCTTGTTAGACTGTCAGAGTTTTAAAAAATTCACCCCATCAACATCGTTTCAGAACACTTTTGAAATGACTTATGGTACGTATTTTTTCACTCCGGAAGACTTTGGCTAAGAGTTCTAGTTCATTACAAAATATGTACCGAATGTGTTATAAAAAAACTTTCGGTTCTGAGACCTACTTATGACTCTTCCAGAACACTTTTTGTCGTGTCTTCTGGTTTGGTCATAATGTGTACTGGAACACTTTTCCTAAGAGTTCTGGTTTGGTGACTTTGTGTACCGAAACTCTTTTCCTGAGATTTCCGATTTATTTTCGTAAATGTAATTTTTTTAATTGTTTTTTTATTCTGCAGGTACAAAAATTCCTCCGCAAATATGCAATAAATACCAGATATGTGTAGACACATCTGATGTTTTTTCAAATACTCAAAGATTTGGTACACGAAAAGAGGTGATAAGATGGATTAAAGAGATCGAAATCTGAAATAAAGTAACGGTTATCATCACTCGTTCAAATATTGAAACAGGAAAGAGAGGAAGAAGTAACAAATTAATATTTGGTTGTGATAAAGGTGGGAAACACAGGGATATTAATAGTGGAACCCAAATTGAGACGAAAAAAATATGGATATCCATTTAGAATCAGGTTAATTCCAGCGAATGATGGATCTGGATGAAAGGTTGATGTAAAATGTGGAGTTCATAACCATGGTTTACCTGATATATTAGAAGGTCACTCCTTTGTTGGTAGGTTGACAGTGGATCAGAAGCAACATGTTGTTGATTTGACAAAGAGAAAGGTTCCACCTAGAAATATATTGCTTTTCTTGCAAGAGCAAGATCCAGAGAATGTCACTCGGATCACACAAATATACAAGCAGAAGAGTATGATAGAAAAAGAGATATGAGGTCCTAGAAGTGAGATGCAACATTTGTTTAAGCTTATTGAGGGTGCATGTTATGTTTATTAGAGTAGAAAGAGAGATGACTCTGAAGTTATTAGAGATATATTTTGGACTCATCCAGATTCAGTTAATTTGTTGAATATTTTTCCTATTGTGTTAGTTATGGACAATACTTACAAGACAAACAAATATAGGCAACCTCTATTTAAAATTGTTGGCATGACATCAACCGAGTTGACTTTTTCCGTCGCATTTGCGTATATTGAGTCTGAGCAGACTAAGACTTTTTATTGGGTGTTAGATAAGCTTAAACAATTGTTTGTGAAGAAAGATTTGTGTTCACAAGTGATTTTGACAGATAGAGATCTTGCTTTTATGAAAGCTATTGAAACTGTGTTTTCAAGGTCGATCAATTTTCTATGTCGATTTCATATTAACAAAAATGTTGGTGCAAAACGGAAACAATATGTGGCTATTGACATGCAAGAGAAAATTGACAAATTATGGATGAAATTTGTATGGGCTAGTGATGAGATTGAGTATGATCCAAGGTTGAACCAACTTGAGGAGGTGTGCGTTGATTGTAATGAATTTATTGATTATGTGAAGGACACATGGTTGACACCACATAGACAAAGATTTGTTGGAGCATGGATTAATCAAGTGCTACATTTGGGTAACACCACGACTAATCGGTATGTATTTATTTTTAGTATTTCTAAATTGTATATTTTTAAGTATTTTTAATATGTATTATTTTTAGGGTTGAGTCTGCTCATTGAAACTTAAAGCAAATGTTGAGGAACAATATTGGTGACATGGTCAAATGTTGGGAGGCTATGAATGACAACTTAAAGTTACAACTGGGCAACATTAGAGCTTCTTTTCAAAAGAGTTTTTATGAAGTTGAGCACGCCCACATAAGTCCATTTTACAATAATTTATGTGGTTCAGTGTCTCAAGCTGCATTAAGACGCATTGTTGAAGAGTTAACACGAGTTGATTATGTTGGAACTAACAAGGAAATATGTCGTTGTACTCTTAGAGCAACCTATGAATTACCTTGTGCTTGTGAGTTGACAGGATATAAAATTGGTGGTATACCGATACCAATAGATGATGTGGATGTTCATTGGAGGAAACTAAGTATGGAAGTTAAGTTGGAGGAAGACGTAGATGATGGATTAGAGGTGGATATGAATAGTGAAATAGATGAGTTATGGAAAAAGTTTGGGTCATTAGATGTTATTGGGAAAAGAGCATTAAAAAGTAAGGTTTTTGAACTTGTCTTCTCCACAATGACTTCTTTGTGTCCACCACCTGAGAAAATAGAAAACAAAGGGGGAGTCAAGAAGAAAGGCAAAAAATCAGTAGGGTATGATGTTTATAGGGACCCTTTGTATCATGAGTATGTTGATCAAGTATCTCAATCTTCACAGAGGCAGTCTCAACCATCATAGACTTCGAAGAAGTTGAAATTATCACAATATTCACAGAAGAAATCTCAACCATCACAGCAGTTCATCCTTCAGTTTCCTAATCACATCAGATCATATAAGTAGTTCATCCTTCAGTTTCCTAATCACATTAGGTCATATATTGATGATGTAGTTAATGTTGTATCAGATGGTAATTGTGAATTTAGAGTCATTGCTTCATTGCATGGATATGGTGAAGATGGTTGGCCAATGGTTCATCAAGACTTGGGGTTGAAAATAATACATAATAATATATCAAGTTTGTATGCCATTTTATTTGCTGATCGGTTAGCAAAAGTGAGAGAGTCTTTAATGATAGAGGCATTTGGTCCTCAACCACCACAGAAATGGTTGACTCTACTAGATATGGGTTACTTGATAGTGAATCGTTATAATGTTGTACTTGTCTGTTTAGTATTTGAATGTTGTACTTTCTTCCCTATGACAAATTCATTTTCACCAAATGTATCATTTTACTGCATTGGTTTTGTAAACACAAATCATTGGGTTTAGGTACTTAGTTATTTTTAGTTAATGTGACTAACCTAACTTCTTAGTTATTTTTACTTAACGTTTTGATTATTTTTTTAATTCAAGTAAACATGAAAGAATTGTTTCCATTGCCACCAGTGACAGTAGATTGGAAGAAGTTTAGTTCTCCAGCAGCAACATCTTGGATGTTAGGATTTACAGGACGTCTACAACATTGGCAATAACTTACACCTATATTACCAACGCGTTATGAATTATAAATTATGTTATTCATTTTTAATTTCAAAATACGAATCATGAATTATGTTATTGGTTTTTAATTTCAAAACATGAATCATGAATAATGTTATTCATTTTTAATTTCAATAACACATAACTGGATTCAAAACTAAACATAAGTCTACAAGTTAACACATAAACATATCCTAATAGGTCAAGTAAGTCTAAAAGTTAATACATAAACATAAACATAAGTTAATAAGTCTAAAAGTTAACACATAAAAATAAACATAAATATAAGTCAATGTGAACGAGCATTACGTAAAGCTTCGAACAACTCAACAAACTGTGGATCATCCTCTTCAGCACCAGCCTGTTGAAGATAACGATGAATCAATGAAGAAACACGAACCCAGCTAAGATCAGATGGTCCTGCTTCATAAACAGGAACTGGCACCTCTCTTGGCGCATCACAATAGGGCGGTATCGAACATGAATGCAAAACACGATAATACCACTGAAGATATCCGCCATCTGTCTCATATGGGATGGTGGCCAGTGTTGTCGGACGAATCACACCCCCAACGCTCTCATGGTAACTAATCCACTCAACATCAATATCACCAACCATTATATAATCAAGAGGTGGAGGTGGAATATATTGCCTGTATCCAAACGGACGCCTACATCTGTTAGGCAAGTATAGAACAATAATGTCACCCCACCTAAGGCACCCCCTGTATAGACATAATTCATCAAATGGATGACATACTCTATGTTCAGTGAATGGGCGCCACATGACATCGGCAGGTGTCTGCTCGTTCAGAATAGGTCGCAAGTCATCCACCTTCAAGACACCTTGTCTATAGGACCATCTCATCGCTCGAGGGAGACCAACATTATTAGCCGGTATCCAATTCTTTACTTTTTTTTCCAAGTGTTGAAAAATACTCATGAATTTAGCACTCTTCCAGAATTAATACTATTAGTTAATTTAAAATAATTAATTATAACATAATAAACTAGATAAATAAAATTAATATACTAAATAAAATTAATTAAAACAAAATAAACTAAATTAAAATAAATACCTGTAGAAGAGTCGGATAACCACCGAGCTGCTTACAACTGAACAAGGAAGCATCTCCGAGATATCTATAAAGGGTAACCAACACATCTACTCCCCAACTGTATTCTGATAAGCTCTCCAAGTCCATAAATAGTGAGAGGTATCGTGCCTCGACATGCATAAAGGTCTTGTCCGCAAAAATCGTGGAACCCAACATCAAAAAATAAGCTCCAGTCGCATATGCCCATATAGAAGCAACTATATGCTCTATGAATCGATCGTATATCCACTCTAACTTATAGTAAGAACCCCTGCAGTCACAAACTTGTTGTTGTGCCACTCTCAGTGATACTTCTAAGTAATCAACAGTCCAATCAATAGCAAGCCCTTCACTGATATCTTGAGGGCTCCAGAAGACTCCCCTGATGGGAAACTGAAGCAAACAAGAGACGTCATCCAGAGTAATCTTCATCTCACTAAACGGCATGTGAAATGAAGATGTCTCTAGATGCCATCTCTCTGCAAATATGGAAACCAGGTTTGTATCTATCTTCGTCAAACTGGTTCTCTGGGGTGAAGATAGACCAGACCTAGATACCCAACCCTTCATCTCTCTAGGAAGCTACAGTAGAACCCTCTGAGTTAGCTTCAACCCATGTCCTACTACCTTTAACTCTGTCTTCGGACCTCTCTCCTGAAAATAATTAAAAGTAAATATATTATAAAATACAACATTAAAAATTCAGATTTTATTCAATATCAAATAATTGTTGTTTACTTACCTCAGTGAACCATATATATCTAGCAATATGATGTTCATACTTAACCAAAATATAGGTATTATACGGTCCTCCTAGATATCCAACATGCTGTGTTGCTGATGTAGATGCACCAATATACTCTTCTTTAGCCATTCTCGATAATTCGCTCCGTCCTAGACCACAATCAGGGATCTTAGCGTCCTTGCCTCGTGTGCACACCACTGCCAAAATAAAAACATAAAAAAATAATAAAAAAAAAAAACAAAAACCAAAACATTTCAAATATGGGTTCTAGTATGAGTCTTCACGTAAACGAACCGGAAGACTTGCATTAACACTTTCAGTAAATAAGCACAAAAAACCAGAATATCAGAAGACTACTTCAATGACTTCCGGTACGAAAGTAGAACCAGAAGACTTACTCTAACACCTCTGGTATGCACTTTATGAACCGGAAGACTTGAATAATGAGTTCCGGTATACAACAGCAAAAATTGTCTCTCGGAAGACTTCATATGGAAATAAAAATGGAAAGGAGAATTTTTAAAATTATAACTATTTATATGAGGGTATTTTGGTCCAAAAAATTTTAATGTGGGGGTATGGGGTAAAAAAATTACTATTGGACCCTAGGCCCAACTCCTTCATCATGTTTGAAGGCACTGAGTGGTCCCCAATACCTTTGGACGAAAATGCCCTCAGTTTCTTTTAAAAAATTTCCTTTTTGTTGACACATATATGTTTGGTTGTGTGATAAAAATGAGAAAAGAGAAAGATATGAGAAAGAGTGTGAGAAGAGAAAAGTGAGTGAGAAATAAAAAAGACGTATAATAGATTTAATGTATTGTTAATTATAAAAGAAGTATGAGAGAATTACAAGAGAGAGAAGTATAATTATTTTTTATAGAACAAAAATATCCTTAAATTATAAAAGTTAATACTACAAAATTTTATGTTTAAAAAAAATATTTTCTTATCAATATCAATTTAAATATGTATTTTAATTAAAAATAATAATAATTTGATAAATTTGTTTTAATTAATTATTTTACTATTTCAATTATTTAAAGTAATTTGATTTATAGTTTATTTGTTGTTGTAAAAATGCAACCAGATAGCATTTAACAAAAAAAAACAAAAAAAATTCAATATTAGCTAAATATGTGTAAAAAGTGATATAAAGAATCATATAATTATAAGGGTTAAATATACTAGTGGTTTTCATAAATATATCAACATTCAATTTTAGTCCCTTTAAACAATAGTTTTTGCAAACTTTTCCGTCTATAAAATTGGTCCCTCCAGTTAGTTTCCACATTAGGATGCTGACATAGCAGCGTGACAAAAAATACTGACATGAATACCACTTGTCAATTATTTTATACTAACACCATATCTAAAATAGCCAATGGATATTCATTTAACTCAAGGCCAAACATATTATATTTGTATTCATTTAGCTTCCATCAAACATATTACGATGAATCAAAGTCTATAACAATTGAACTGTCATGCAGCAATTATATAATGAGTAAAAAACACATTTTATATAATACTGAATTGCAACAACATTGTAAACTTGGTAACTAGAAAAACAAGGCAATAGGATTAAGCAAATAATGACACATGTGTTTTAAATTAAGCATATGTTATAGGTGAAGACGACGACACAATCCAAATTGAGGTTATTAACAATGTCCAAAATCCAAATACTCGCAAAAGCCAAAACAAACAGACCCTGAGTTTGGTTCAGCTTTTGTTCTAGCATTCACACCTTGATACGCGGTTCAAGCATAACTTCGACGCAATTCAAATTTTGATTCAACTCAGTTCTGAATTTTGCGACTCAACATTGTTCAGTTTTGCGTTTCGGTTTTGGTTTGGTACGTTACAGTAAGCTTGATTCTTTGTGTTTCAGTTCTGAGTTTTCGTATTTGGTTTAGGTTTGGAATGGTGTTCAGTTGTGGTTTGGATTATGTTTCAGAATTTTGAATTATTTAAACCAATAAACAACATTTTTAAAACATCCATACCACTCATTTAAAATTGTAAATTAGGTCCCACTAATTTCACAATGTACTCCAACTCAATACATGATTGGTTAAAATAAAAAAATTATGCCATATTCTTCTATTACTATGTTGCTGCAAAAAGCACCTTGGTTTATAAATAGATATCATTTGCCCTAAAATCCTCGGAAAACTTAGTGAAGTAAATCGAGATTAACCATACCTCCGACTTCATAATCTCTTTGGTAGCTCTTTGATATTGGTTGCTCTGATCCTCATGCATGTCCCATCTTAGGTTCTCCTGATATTTTTTCTTTCCTCTTTGTTAACTTGCTTCCAATCCATAATAAGAACAGAATTTATACAAAGCAAAGGTGAAGTAGAAAAATATCTACATATTTTCAACATAATTAAAAAAAATCCTTATAAAATTAATATTCATTAGAGCATCAAAATAGAGTAATTTATATGGATCAATCTATCAAATCAAATAAATATAAAGTTTCTGCTTTGAAATTTGAGAGTTTGTATGATTAAATGAATGCTGTCACTAGGGATTGAATATTAGATTAACCATTTACACTCGTTTAATTCAACTAATTCATATCAGTTGACCTACCACGACCTACCTCAAAGATAAAACATTCTTACTTCACTAAATTTGATTTTTATTTCTATTGTATTTAATTTTTTTTATGTTAAATATTATTCACTAAAAATGGTAAATTAGTTTGGTGCAATTATTGCATGTGGTCATTTTTTCTTTGTTATAATCCTTGGTAAATGAATTCTCTGCCTTATAATCTTTTTTCGGTAGAAAAAATAAGGCAAAATATTTTTTGTGGCCCCGTATTTTAATTTTAAGGTTCATTTTGTTCTCTTAACTTTAAAAGGGTTTATATTGGTCTCTTAACTCTTCAAAATGTTTCAAATTAGTCCATTTTATCTAATTAGCGACGAATTTAGCGACTGAATTTTGAAGTTTTTTGTCGCTAATAAGACAAATATGACTAATATGGAATATTTTGAAGAATTAATGAACCAATATGAATCTTTTTAAAGTTAAGAGATCAAAATGAACTTCAAGATTAAAATCCGAGACTAAAAAGAGTATTTTGCCAAAAAATAAATAAATTGCAGAAACATATCTAAAATATTAATAACGACGAAAAGGACCATAACTTCCATATTCCAATTCAAGTATTTACTCCTTCCGTTTTTTATTTTTCACACATATTAAAAAATGTAATAATTATAATATGGAAAAAAGAAATTATGAAAGATTTTACAAAATTGTTATTTATTAATGATATTTGAAAGAAAAATGTACATAATTGAAATGAAATAAAATAATAAATATTTAAAGATATAATAGAAAAAATAACTTTAATGATCTATTAATATTATAAAACTATTTATAATATGATAATTTTTTTTAAAAAAACGACTTATAATAAAAAAAATAGAAATAATATACTATTATTCTTCTTCCTTTTCTCTGACTCTAACATTTTTTTATGTGTCTTAATCCATCTCTATTCTTCCCTATTTATGTTTCATTTAATCATTTTTGTAATTGGTTACATAACTTTTTTTTTCACACAAATTTTTAAAAAAATCCACTTTTCAATAAAAGATATATTCTAAACAATTGAGTAAAAATAGAACAAATAGAGGTCTATTGAATATTTGTATAACAATTGTTATTACTCTAATTACATTTTAATAAATTGCGTTTAAGAAAAATTATTATTACTTGATGCCCCTAACTATTACTTAAAAATTAATATGAAAAGATTAGCATAAATTCAATGCAATTGAAATATTTTTTTTCTAATGTTCTTTTAATCTATGACGTGGTAAATTAACATTTAAAAGTGTAATAAAAAGTTGAATATATATTAGTGAGTCCATAAAGTATTTAAAATGGAGGGAGAGAGATGGAGATACTTTCTTAATAACTTAATTCCACTATGAATAAAATTTCTCTCTTTGATTATTCATTTATTGTTAATTTTGTATTATTATTTTTACAGGGGTGGCGACATGAGTTATAACTGAAAAAGGGGTCATTTTCCAAAAGATTTACAAGATTTAGAATAAGTGATGATAAATGATTAACTTAAAGCACAAATATATTAAAAATGATATATTTTTTTTCATAGAAAAATTATATGATTAGAGTTGCGGGTGGTTGTTGGCCGGGTGGTTTCTCCATCAACGTGAAAATTTATAGAAGTTATATAGTTGAGTTTTGAGATATTCTTGAGGAGCTGATGTTTACGTTAGATTTGAAATTCAAGAGAGTCGAAGTTAATATAAATTTTGTTGAGATTATCATGAAATTGGATCATCTCATTTTTTATATATCATGTTATCTCTCAGGTTTCTAATCTAACGGTTCAGAATTTTAAATAAATAATTAAATAAAAAAAATCATTTAATAGGAGAGAGAAATGAATAAGTAATTTGTCTTTGTTATCTCTCCTATTAAATAATTTTTTTATTTAATTATTAATTATAAATTCTGAACCGTTAGATTAGAAACACGAGAGATGACAGGATATATAAAAAATAAAGAGATTTAAATCCGTTGATGCTTTGACGAAAGTTAAGTGTAGACCAAATTCTGAATTATTTTATTTTTTCTCTGATTCTAGTTTTATGAAACATTTGTTTGTTGAAGATAAGTTAGAGAATTTCACCTCTTTAGAGATGCTTGTGTAATGTTTTTTCCTTTGGATTGGACCTTTGGCATTCACCATTAAAAAAAATTATATTGTTATCATTGAATATTTTGGTAGCATTAATGTAATTAATTATCTATTATCAATTTTTTTCTCCGTATTGAAGTAATTAATTTTATTTGTTTATATTTATTGCACTCATTATGATGATTGAAGAGTGATTTTAAGTTTTGATTAATTCCTCTATAAAGGTTGTTTTAGGGTTGAAGAATGGTTGAGTTTCTTTTTATTATGAGATGTTCATAAAGAAATGGTGTTGGCATTTTTATTCATGACTATTTGCTTTATTAATACTAGCGTTTAGATGGGCACTCGCGTATCCGTCTATCGGCTTTTTTATTGCACACATATAAATATAAATGATATATTTTTATTTAATATTAATTTTATATGGAAGTTATGTGAAAAGTTATTAGTAGGGAGTTATATAAAAGATGATAGTAGTAGTTTAATGAAAGTTATTGTGTAAGTTATATATTTTAAAATAAGGGTAAATTTAGTATAAAAAAAGCTACACCAAAATTATTATAGATTAAATGGTAATGGTAAAAATTTTGAATTATACTCTCCGTAAAATTTAGTTTACACTCTCTAAATAGATTATTTTGCTTTTATTTGTTGGATAATGTTAACTTGTGTCCTTGGGGCACATGTTAAAAAAACCACTTATAGTAAATTTGCATTGAAAAAAACGATTTAAAAATTAATTTTATACTTTAATTAAAGTTTATACACAATTTCCAAAACAATGTTTCTTAATTTAATTCTTAACATGTGTTCCAGGGGCACAAGTTAATATTACCCTTATTTGTTTTATTAAAGTAATTTTCATATATGAATAAAACTGAATTATTATTCCCAATTAAATACGAGATAATTGAGGAATTTTATTAAATTGTAATTTTTAATGAATTTTTCAGCTAATTTTTTATTAAGACTAACGGTAGACTAATATTCTGAAAGATGATAATATTAAAAAAAGCTCTTTATGTTGCTCATCCAAAACAGTCTTATGTTACTCCTTTATTGGATGAGAATAATAGGAGTAACCAATCTGGCCAAAACACTCTTAGGTAACTCTTTTGTATTCCATTTTAGATTGATCAAACTAATGAAATTTATTAGGAAAATAAAAGTGTTTTAAATAAAAATAAGGGATAAAAATATTTTTTTACATATTTTTGTTAACGGTTATCTTATTATATATATATTATTTAAATTTTATTATTACTTTGTTTTTAAATATAAAACTCAGTTGAGAAAATTACAGAAATTAAAAAAGTTAGTTAGAGTATTATATTTATTAATTATTTTGTATAATTTTATAAGTTTATTGTTAGGAGAGAGAAATATGAGATTGTATTTATTATATAGTAAAAAAAGTATAATATTATTAGGGTGTATGTGTGTAAAAAAACAATTAATATACTTTAAAAATTAGAGAGAATCTTATAAAAAGATATAAGAAAAAAATTCAACACAATCTAATAATTAGGAACATAGATAATAATATTTTACACGGATGACGTATTGCAAGAGTCATGAATATTTTAAAAAAAAAAACTATTTATATGTAAAATTTGTATTATATATAATTTAAAAAAAATTATATGTAATTTTTTAATACTTTTTAATAACTGTTTTTAATAGTTTCCTACCTGTATATATTTTAACTATATATTTTAACACAACGCATGTGTATTAAAAAAATGGACAAATGGATACACTCATTAAAATGATAGGAGACCAAAACATTAAAAAAATAATCAAAAATATGAAAATATAAAAAGAGAAATGATTTTAAAAATAAAAAGACAAAAATTTTATTGACTTAATTACAACTTTGATTTGTCTATTTTATTTTTTCTCTATATTTTAAAAATCACATTTTTTTTATTGGGTTAGATTTTAGTTCTAAAAAGAAATTAAAATCCAACCTAAAACTTTAAAAATGATCAAAATTGTAATTTTTAAAAATGAAAATCAAAATTCAAAAAATAACATAGTCAAAATTGCAAATAAATCAAATTTATGTGTTATTATCATTTATTATCAGATAACTGTGTGCAAACATAGCTGGGGAAAAGTCATTGGCACCCTTTCTGTAGTACCAATTCCATATACATCGATGACATTTTTCAATTATTGGTGTTGAGTTTGTGTCCCACAAAGCTTAGTTTATCCTTCACACATATCTTTTTGTCTTGTGAGACAAAATTACAAGTCATGTAGAAAATGACATTTTAAATTAAACATATACAAATCCATAACAATTACAAGTAGACAATAGGTGCAAATGCAATGTACCAAACACACAGTATATTTCAATCACAAACAAGATCCAATTACAAAGAAAATTCACATGTAGTAAAAATCTAGCACCATCCTTCATTCAAAATTCTTCTATATTCTTTTATCTAAAATTTAAACAAACTATTTAATTCGAATTTTCAACATTTAAACTGAAATGCATTTAAAAAAATAGAAAAAAATGTCAATTATTGGTAGTAGTAGCTGGCACATAGCTTCTTCATCCAGTCTATAAATTAGCATGAAACCACTAATAATCTTCCCCCTCCCCTCCTCTTTCTATCTCACACACACATTCTCTCTCACATCCTCACGCTTTTAAATTAAAATAACTATAAAAAAAAAAAGTGTGAAAAAAAAAATGGAGAAACCCAGATTCATAATAGAAGCATCAGATGTAAAATCGATGGGCCAATCAACGGGCCTAGCCCTAACCCAACTACTTCCAACCATCGTCAAATCGGCCCAACCTTTAGCCCGTGTCCCCATCTCCAAGTTCCACGTAGCAGCCGTCGGAGTCGGAATCTCCGGCCGAATCTTCATCGGCGTCAACGTCGAATTCCCAGGCCTTCCATTTCATCACACCATCCACGCTGAACAGTTTCTCTTAACAAACCTCTTTCATAACAAAGAAACACAGCTTCAATATCTCGCCGTCTCCGCCGCACCTTGCGGCCATTGCCGTCAGTTCCTCCAAGAAATCCGCGGCGCCTCCGATATTCCACTTCTCATAACATCTGAATCTGAATTCACCTCTCTTTCTAAATTCCTCTCTCATCCTTTCGGTCCTCACGATCTTCTCCCCAAACACGTTCCTCTTCTCTTGGAGCCTCGTAATAACAATTTGTCGTTTCTCGATACCGGATCCAACGGTTATAACAATAACGATAATACTAATCAATCTTCGATTTCGAAGTTGAAGGTTGCGGCTCTTGAAGCCGCGAATGAATCTCACGCGCCGTACAGTGAATCACCTTCCGGCGTAGCTTTATTAGATTCGCGCGGTAATGTTTATAAAGGCTCTTATATGGAATCTGCTGCTTATAACCCTAGTTTGGGACCGGTACAGGCTGCTATTGTAGGTTTTATCGCCGGTGCCGGAGATAATGCGGCGGAGTATGGTGAATTAGTGGAAGCGGTGTTGGTTGAGAAAGACGAAGCGGTGGTGAAACAAGAAAGTACGGCGAGGTTGTTGCTAAGTTCAATCGCACCTCAGTGCGGCTTCAACACGTTTCTTTGCATTTCCAATAATAAAAAAATCTAATTGATTTTATTATTATTGTTTTTTTTAATTATTTGAATGGATCTGTATGATTGAATATTCAACAGAATGAGAAGTTATCATTATGGTTATGGATATTATGGTGTACTAAAATAATATTAATCATAAATGATACTGAAGTTACTATTATTCCCTTTTGGTTTTTATATTTATGGTTTCAATATTTTCTAATAAAATAGGAACTTTTTTAAACCTTGTATACTGTTATTTTAATTTTTTAATATTCAATCACTGAATTTGGTAACTACATTTACCAGTTTATTATATATTATGGGTTTTTTAAAGAAATATATGGATTATTTATATATTTAGTAATAGGAACACACTAATTCTTATGAGAGATGCATTCAGATACTTGACTTAAATGTCACTATTTTTTTTAGTTTGTTTTAAAATTGGAAGTGGTAGTTTGTTTTTGTCTATAATTGTTGTCTTTAAAAAAATACTCCATAATCTTTAAGATCTATATAAAAGAAGTATTCCATACTCTTTAAGATCAATATTTTTAGAAACTTTTAAATAAATAAATAAAAAAACTGTTTTTAAAAATTGAAGCATTCATATTTTGAGTTTTTTGCATTAAGAAGTCAAATTTAATTTATGATTAATTAAATTTATATTTTATTTATAAATGAAATAAATTAATTTTGATAAAAAAATTAAATATAAATTATTTATGTTAACTATATTAATATAATAAAATTTTAATTGGTATGTACTGTCAGTGTAAAGATTTTTTACTCTGTCGGTTGATTTCAATCGCTGATTTATTTAAATACTTCAATTTTTTTAACCACTTAAAAAATAATATCAACGGATAGTTGTTATATATTAATAGTATAATTATATTGACAGTGTATAATAATTAATTTATATAAATAATTAAAAAATATATTAAAATTAAAATTAATTTAATAATATTTGAACTCACCCCAATATCTAATGTCTATACACCTCTATCGATTGAGAGTGATTTAACATACATGAGTGCCATTTTAAAAGGCTTTTTATAATTACTTTTGGGAAATAGTTGATATCAGCGTCATAGTCATGGCCGCATTAGGACTTTTTTGGACCACGTCTCTTTTAATTTCTTCCCGCACACCAATTGGTGTCTTGTGAGGAATGAGGTGGTGAGGTGCAAGATTCTTACTCATCTTTAGGCAACTATGATTAGATATGTATGCATTTGTTAAGCAAAAATGAATTCTACTATAAGAACTTCAATGACAAATGTAGTCCATATACTTTGACAGAATATGTTACTCTTACTCTAATTTTGCCTAAAATATTAAAAGTATCTAGTGTACCATAGGCCAACTATTATCACAGATAAATTTTTGTGTATAATTTTTCTTACCTATTAGAATCTTCGGAAGTGATCGTTGTTCTAAGTGGTATGTGGAAAGTAGGATTTACAAAGTTAGCTTTTAATTGTTTAAGTTAATACGAGTGAAACAAGAGTTAATTCAAATTGTGTTTATAAGAAAATAAATAATTTATTATTTGTTAGGAGTAAATTGCGGAGATTTGTTAGATACACTTGCACTTGAGATTTTTGTGATCGTCAAGATGAAAGTTTTAGTGTGCTAAGAAAATTTTGAAATGAGTGTAATGTGTGCAGAGTGGTTGGTCGAGATTGTTGTGACCGGTCCAAAATACACTCTTCCCAAGCCCGTGCATATGCCCGACAAGGCATAAGTTTGTTACTTCAACTTTGGCTCCCGACCACTCTTGTCAAAATATTGAGAAGAGCAAAATAAAACATTTAAATTTTCTAGAGATTCATGCATTTAATGCTCCATACTTCAAACATGTTTTCGAATGTGTTGTCATTACGGTTCTTGGAACCAAAACATTTGAGTGATGTGTGTAACTAATTTGTTACATTTGGTAGAGTATTCTCCCTTTGCATGTTGGGATATAATTTTTCAAAGAGTCGTCGTTTGTTTCTTTTTTCTTTAGTCATTTCCTCAGTGTAACAATTATCTTTTCTTTAACACTTTGTTTTACTGTATTTGAAAAGTTAGTGGTTAATAAGTAAAAAAATTACATAAGAGTGCTCACAAACCCCAAAAGAGTGTTTTATCTTCTTGGGTGAATTTTGCTTACTTTTCCACTGTTTCTGTTTTTTCAGGAACAGTAGTCTCGATGGATCATTTCTTGAAGTTGGCCTAACATCTGATTCAAATGTTTTAAGACCTGTTGCAAATGATAGGATATGGAGTGAATACAATGATTGCGCCATCGCTTTTTACAAAAAAAATTTCTCCCCCTGGGTTTTTGCCCACCCTTCACTATCTTTGAGATAGAAGTCCTGAAACATATGGTGATAGCTCATTTACAACTTCATCCCACCAGCTGGGCATATGTGAAAGTCTACCAATTCTGGTGTGAGTACTTGAAGAAGAAACCTTTTCTGAATCTTTTCTTTCATAACTTTAAATTCAGTTGTGGTCTTGTGACTCGAAAGCGCAACAGAGGGTTAATTTCTTTGGACCCGGTTGTGCGCGATTTTTGGCCTTTTCTTGAACTATAGTTTTTTGTTGATCGGATCTTTCTGGTCACTCACATCGGCCAAGAAGCTCATTCTACGATTTGTGTTGTTAGGGATGGAGTGAAAGGAAGATATGTCAAGTTTTTTCCCAAGTATTCGACTGAAATCCACTTTCTTATGGGGAATAACATATATGTGTACAAAGAGGAGGACCTCACTACATAAATTTATACCAAAAAAAACAGTTGATGAGTTTTATCTACAATCAGGGTTACTTTGAGGGTGGCACCCCTACGGATGAGGCTGATCAGAAACACTTGTAGCGCCTTATTGACGTTTAATTGCTGATGGAGGCTCACTCTCGAGAAGAAAGAAAAGTCATCTTTGGTGAGTTATGGAAAATCTTAGCCTCTTTATCTTTGATATGCTTACTCGTGATGTATTTATCCTGACAATGATTATGTGCAAATTGGATGAAGGATGAGGTACAACTTCGACTTACAAGGCGAAGGATATGGTTGTTGCATAGTGAAGTTGCTTGGAACATGCTTCTGATTCTGCCGAGTATATCAGGTCTTCATGTCCGTCAATTGCGCATATGGTTGAGCTCTCGTTCCTTCAAAGACCATTGGAAACCTGCTTTGGAAGAGGATTACGCATATTTTGTCAATCTGCTTGGGACTGTTATGGAGGAAGAACTGACTGTTATGGCTCGGTACACCTAGTTTGCCTCTGCCACTTTGGCCCTTAGTGGAGCTGGCTGTTGGGAAGCGTTTTGGTCTAATCTGTAACACCCCAAATTTATTGGAATATTTATTTAATTTATTTAAATAGGAATATTTGTATTTTTTGTTATTTGCGGTGGTTGGTATGAAGTATTGAGAATTATGGATTTTGGGTTATTTATTTAAATAATAGTATATAATATGAATATATTGATATTATTATTAATTTAAATAAATATAAGTGAATTAAGGGCAAAGTGGACATTTGAAAAGGTGTTAGTGAGGGTGAAATTGGAAAGCCCATTTTAAAGGCCCAAAGTTAGGTTTAACAAAAATGAATTTTGAGGGAATTAGGATTCTTTCTTGTTAGACCGTGAAAAGGGAAGAAATAGAGGTCATAGCTCTGAGGAAGAGGATTGAGGCAAAGCTTCGCGATGTTTCCAAGAATCAAGGAGAAAGGCTTAGAGTCGGCGATTAAGGTATGGGGAGTATTACCTTCATTGTTTCAATATACGATTCAATGTATTTAAAGCCGATTTAAGGATTTAAGAGGTTTTTGAGTTTGAGTAAATTAGTCCTTCGTGGCCAAATCTATTTTTGAGGTTGTTTAAGTATGTGGAGTATTGCCTTCAAAATTTGCAAAATATGATTCAATGTATTTAAAGTCGATTTAAAGGTTTAGGAATTTTTTAGTATTGGATTGTTGTTGCCTTTCTGGTGATGAGTTCAATGAGTTTGAGGGATTTGAACTGATGGTCTGATATGTTTGAGGTTGATTTGGGAGTAAGAGAAATTAAGCCTTCGTGACCAAAATCTGTTGTTGAGGTTTTAACCGTATAGGGTAATTGATTGTGAGAACTTTAATGACTGTGGGATATTTGTAAGAAATTATGGGAATTAGAGGCGTAAATAGTATACAGGATGGGCCTAATAAGTCGTAGATTTTGTGCCTTTATCGTCATAATACCTTAGAAATGATTTAGGGATGTTTTGGGGGCATTGGGGAAGGAAATCGTATGGACATTTGGAATGTTTTTGCTACTGTTGCATAGCAGCAATTTGTTGTAATTGCGAGTTCGCACGACGAACACTCGCCCTAGACTCGCATGGCAAACTGTCCAACGAACGTAGCAGAGTTTCGCGAATTGTGTTCTTGTGCAGTGCTGTCTTGATGCTTTGATGTTGTGATTTTCTGGATGAATTACCTTGAGTATGACTGTGATTCATATGTGATTAATACATGATTGTATGATGATTCCTATGAGTAATGATGATGAGTTATGATGTTGATTCCATGAGTTTTTTATGATGACATAATTATTATGATGATTTTGATGAATGATGATGCACCTAATGAGTTTATTATGAGGATGATGTTGATATGTGCATCATGCATTCATATGCATTCCGGACTTCGGTCTAGTGTTTGATTCTTGTGGCTTCAGTCCCATTGTGCGGATGTGAAGTATTTTATTGTGCTCCGGTTCTTGTGTAGAATCAATCCTATTATGGGGATCTATGGAGGGTTGATGGCCCAATGTCCATCAAACTTTGATGAATTGGTACCACATGCATGAGTTTTGTTGCATTTGCATTTATGTGACAATTTGGTGTAATTTATGATATTACGACTTTTTGATGTTTCCTTGATGATTATGATGATGTTGAAAATGACGTTATTTTATATATTGATTCCTATATTGATTATTATGAATCATTTTACTCACCCTGCCTGTTTGAATGTTACCTCCACGTGGGTA